ATTTTTATTTATTTTTCACCGGTTTATTAGCTTTTCACTCTTTTTCGTCCATTAACTGTTTTTTTTTTTTCTTCTTCTTTAAATCCCCTGTAAATTTGTTAAATAAAATACAACCCTGTTTCGCGACATTTCGTCTTGTGTAAACGCCACTTTACTTTCGTAATTATCAATTTAATGGTCCCTAATATAAATAATTTTCAAAATAAAACAATGTCTACCTAACCGCTGGACTTTAACCTGTTTGATTTTGTTCATTGATTTCACTTGCCGTGTAATTTCGTATGTAAATGCTAATAAGCTGGTTAATCTTAAATTGAAATTGATATGTTTTGTAAAACACTTAAATTGTGTTAAAAATTCATTTCAGGTTTAATTGGTCAATTAAAATTATGGCTATTAAACAAAAGCAGCAGCAGCAACAACAACAAAATTTGTTACGCTTCTTTACTCTTTCCCACTGGCCCGCAAGTCGGGTGGTGGTAATTAACGTATGCCTTCACCTTAACCTTAAATGGGGTTATAACGTCATGAAAGAACTGAGTGTATGGAAGTAAACACTCTCTTTTTTCTCTTCATAAATCTTGCTCTTGGTGGGTATTTTGCTTGAAAGGCAAACACAAAAAAAAATCCAATTTATTGTTATTGCTTGTGAAGATACGAAATACCTACATACCTGCCGCCTATTTACCAGCAACAAAAACAACGCATTTTTTTTTGGGAAGCAAAACACGAGCAGATTTTGGGCACCATCATCAACAAACAACGAAAAAAGTAGAAAATAAAGTCCCCATCCACCACCTCATGTTGATATAATTAAAACAAGTGTCGTTATTACGTGTGCGAGAGAGAGGGAGAGAGTGTGTGTGTGTTGATGGAGTAAGTCAACAACACACTTTTACACATCTACACACCTACCCATTATAACCCACACAAGTCACAAAGGCATTCCCCAAAAACAAAACAATGAGATTAGGGGCCTGTTGGGGCAACAGACCACGAGAGAGAGTGAGAGACAGAGGTGGTAAACACATACCACAGAGCACATTCATACCTTTATTAACACGTACACGACGTTCGTTTTTTTTTCTTCCTTTGCTAAGATAACTAATCGTTGACGCGGCAGACGAGTGCACACAACGAAGAAATCCCCCCCAACACACAGTGAATAAAAAATGAATAGCCAAACAAGAGTAACAAAAACAATAACAACAAAAGAAAAACAACATTTAACGACGAAATACCACAAATTTCGCACTTACTCATGTCTGATGGGCAGGAGGTAGCGCGAATGGGAAGCAAAACAAAAAAAAACGAACGGCAACAACAACATCAACAATATCCAAACACACGACACGACACAACAGCCAGCAACCCAATAACAATCACACAAAAAGTAAAAAAGAAAAAACAACATCAACGAAATGAGCCAATGATTATAACAACAAAAACAAAACAAACGACGACGACGACACAAGCCAGCCAACGAGCCACAAAGCAAAAAAAAAAAAGCTGACTAACAACTTAAATTGTTGAAGGTTCGGGGAGCACCACTAAATGTGACCGGCATCGTTGTATCTATACAAACACACGGACACACACACACATATTTGGATTTTACTGTAAATAAAAAACGATATGACTGTGGTGACTGAGTTAGTGAAAGACAAAACAAAATGATTAAAGTGGCAACAACAAAAACAAAAATAACAAGAGCAACAGGGGTGTAATATATTACTTGAACTGGGGGCCTTTGGAATAATTATACGAATTGGGAGAATAATTTAAAAAAAAAATTAAAATAAATGGATTTTTGTCAATTTGACAATAGATGGCAAGTCTTTTCGCCTAGGACCATGACAAAAATGACTTGTAGTACCAATTATCGTGCTTTTATCTTGGGCTTGCTGGTGCCACTGTACTTGCAAATGAACACATACACTTTTACTATTTGTGTAGCCAAGAACGGTTGTGTGTGTGTTTAAGTAATCATGAGACGTTTAAACTCTAAGGAAAACAAAATAAACAAATGAAATAATCATCAAAACGTTATACGAAAGCAAAAAAACCAGAATGAAAAGAAGAACAAGCAAACGAAAGACTCTCGGTCATATTCTGATACTGTGGGGCAATCATTGCTCTGCTTAGTATTATTATTTTTTTTTTATTTTGTTTTTGTATATTTAGCTGTTGCTGCTGCGTCATATTGTGTGAACGAATGGAAAAAAGACACACACACACACTCACAACCGAGACAAACGAAGCTAGGCCATCAATTTAACAATCAGCGACAGCAACAGCAGCAACAACAACACCGAACTCATTTGTCGTTCTCGCCGTTTGGTGGGTCGTTCGTTTTGTTTCTTGGTCGAATTTAAGATTGTTTTTTTTTTTGCACTGCTCTTTTTTGTTCTCCTCTCTCTGCTCCCCCTCCACCAACCCGTGATAATTTTGTTCGTGATAAACACAATACACTTGGCAGACAACTGGTGTGTGCTGTGTGTCGGTGTGGTTTGCTTCGAACTCAATAGGAATAGTTTTTTGTTTTAGTTTTAACGGCCGGGTGAGGGGACACTGAAGTGTGGGGCTTGTTTTTCTTGACAAAAGTGGCAAAGTTGAGGCAACCAGCGGATACGACAAATATACATGGACATGTGTATGTAGTACTGTTGGTCGTATAATACGTACTATCATCAAACGTCAATCATGTCAATTCATTCGGAATGAGGAGGAAACCCTCATCGCACCCCAACACCAATGAACGTTTATTGATATTGTTGTTGGTGCTGTTGGTGGTATTGCATTGACAGTGTTTTTTTTTGCTTAATTTTTTTTTTGTTTTTGGTGTGTAGTTTCTTCGTTTATTTTTTCCGATATTTGGGTAGTAGATATTATAGGTAGTCTACAAAGGTTAAATTGTGTGGGGATGATTAATTTTGAGGCTTAATTTATTGATTTTGGTTATGACTATTTTTTCTTCATCATTTGCATATCTTTAGGGTGGCCAGGTGTTCTTGAAAGAGGATAAGTTTGGAGACTTGCCATTTAAATAGGCAACACCACAGTGTTGCCAACCGAGTCCCACTGCCAAAATGGGGGAATATCTTTAATTTTACTTTTTTATATGTGAGTATATGAGTCAATTCTCTTAAATATCTAATGATAATGGGTAGAGAAGTGATAAGCCATGGCAGAACTCATCCATCATTCTCAATTAGTTTTAAAAGTGAATTCCATAACTGTTTACGTAAGGCAAGTGACATGTATAAGGAGTGTTCGATTAGTTGGTAATTTTTAAAATTTTTTATTGGAAGCTGTTCGTTTACCCAAAAGACTGTAAGTGGGAGAGACATTTTGACATTTGAGTTACTGAGAGTTTGCAAATACTTACTGGGAAAATTTTACCTAGTAAGAATAGTTCAGTAACATCAGCTGTTCACTAATTAGTTGTTTTGTAAACAAATCAATCTATTTTTTGCGGAAAATTTTTTTACATTTATTAACAACAATTTATAAGGAAAACGTAAGTAAAAATTAAAAAATAATTAAATTAAAAAAAAATTATTTAGGTGCCGAATTTGGCTAAAAAAAACAAGTTAAAAGTATCAATGTTCGATAATTTGAATATATTTCGACTTTTGTTATGATTATTCAAATGTTTCACCCTTTATGGAGTAGGTTCCTATTGAAAGGACCTATATTGTTCATTTCGTATCGGACCTATCAGAAAAGCAAGAATGTTAAAGTTCTTACTATGATAACCGATTATCCCTTTATGGTATAGAAAAAATTTGTTTTTTCAAAAACTAGTAGATTCATGCAGGTACTGAAACAGACCAATTGACAGGTACCAGGTTATGGGTTACTTCGTTGAGAATTTTTAGAAAATGTGTAAAATGTGCGTGAGGTACCAGATATAATTGACCGAAGTATTCCATTTTCCTACTTCATCTAATACAGATAAAAATATTGGTATGGCAATTTTATGCGAAATCATAATTTCCATATTCATATCAGATTTCAGGCTAAGGGAAATATTTAAATATAGCAAGTTGTAAAGAATCGCTGACTTGTTTCGCAAATCATGACAGAAAAAAGTGATTGAAAATTGTGACCCTTTGTGGGTGAGGTACCAGAAGGGGTTCGCAGATATATATAATCTTTGTAACAGATCTTGTTTCAGCCAAAATGTTTTAGGTGTGAATTTTGAAGAGAGTTGGATGCTTATTTCGGATTTTATAATCGTTTTGTTTTCCAAAATCTTGAACCTTATGTGGGGGAGATGCCAGAAGAAATGGCCTCTATCATCTCTTCTTCTCTCTACCATTTTTTATAACAGATCTTGTGTTATTGAAAATATTGAGATGCACCAAGTCTGAATTGAATCGGATGTTAATTTCGCGTTTTGTGAGTTTCATGGATATTCAATATTTTTGACCCTTTATGGAGGAGGTACCAGCAGAAGGAGTGGATCGATATGTCTCATCTTCAAAGCAGATCTTGTGTTAGTAGAAATAATGGTATGTTTGAAATATGAAGGGAGCCGGATGATTATTTTCGATTTTATGATCGTTTTGATTATTCAAAATTTTGGCCTTTTGTGGGGGAGGTACCAGAAGAAATAGTTCGATCTCTAACATCATCAAAATAGATCCTGTTCTGAAATAAATACTAAGATGTGCCAAGTCTGAATGGGATTGGATGTTAATTAATCGTTTTATGAGCTTCAGGGATATTTAAAATTTTGATCCTTTGTGGGGGAGGTACCAAAGGGAGTGGACTGATATATTCCATATTCACACCAGACCTTCGGTAAATAAATATATTGCGATGTGTGTAATTTGAAGACAATTGGACTCTTACATCACATTTTATAGAAGTTATAATTTTTCAAAATTTTGACCCTTTATGGGGGAGGTACTTGATAGAGTGGACCAATATTCTGCATTTTCGCAAATTACGTAGCACTGATGAAAATATTAGGATATGCAAAGTTGCGGCAAAATCGAATTATGCTTTCTCTTTCTCTGCAATAAAATATTTTTTTGAATAGTTCGACCTTTTGTGGGGAAGCTATCAGAAGGAGTGGATCGATATAGCCCATCTCCGAGCTCGATCTAAGTTTGACAATAATATTACGATGTACCAAGTTTGGACCACATCGGATACTCCCTTCGAGAGTTATCGTTCGCACCAGCCAGTCAGATAGACAGACGGACGGACGGATATCGCTAGATTGACTCCAAATGTCCCGAAACGGATTTGGTCTAAAGAGACCTAGTGTCCAAAACCGTTATTTTAATGAGGCACGTTTTGGTCGTATCAAAGGATATAAAAAGTACCTGTTTCCTTACGTTTCCACAAAATTTTATTTATCAAAACTTGAAATGAAGTGATTTCGCAATTTTTCTATTTATATTTTCATTTTTTTATTATCAATTTGTACCAAAAGTGTTTATTTTAATCTTTTTATGAGAATTTTCCCAACACCAATTTCCCTTGTTAACATTGTGTTATGGCAACCCTAACACTTCAACTCCAAACCTGCCATAATTACGTTCTATTGACATTTGTCGAAAATTTCTCCTCCTCTCTGATTGTGATACACGATCAGCTGACCGAGATTGACAAATCAAATCTCCACAAATTGTGTCTTTGTCGTTAAGTGAATCTCGCGCGGACGGACGAACAATTAGTAATTAACGGATGTGCGTGCTCGGTCGGCTAAAAGGTGTTAATCAAAGTTTAAACAAATAAAAGAAAAGCGAAAAATAAAATAAAAAACTAAAAGTAAACAAAATGTGAAGTGAAATAAAATTGCTTACTTTCGAATAAAAGTTCGTGTGTGCAAAGAAAAATGTGAAAAAATAAAACAAATAAAACCCGGGACAAATGGCGTCGGTTGGTAAATTCATTGTGGTTTTAATTTATTAAAAATGCTAAAAGAAATTAAACGTTTATGGGTGCAAAAGTGGGATTCTCTAAAAAAATGGGCAAAAACAGGAGGTGGTGGTGTTGAAAAAGATAAATAGTATTATATAGGTACTTATAACCTCCCCCTCCAGTCATGTCCCGCCAAAAACAAAGCAAACAAATCATGCAAGTGAATATTGCATGTCGATGTCGGTTCCGTTGTTGTCGTTTCGTATGCGGTCGGGTTATTTGTTGTTTTTTTTGCTGTTGGTTGAAATGTTGACGTTATTGTCAAATGTATATGGTGATCAAACGTCAGCCAGCGCAGCTACAAAGCTGTTGTTATTTGGTGTCATTGATTGTTTTTTGTTGTTGTTGTTGCTACTGCCGTGAGTGAGCTCAACACGACGTCTGTCATGCCATTTTCATTTCGGGGGAATGCCTTTGACTAAGTGACAACATTACAGCACCATTGTCGCCACAATCAATGTCCCCACCACCACCACCCATCATTTTACATTGCTTTGAGTCGTCGTCGTCGTCTCCCACAACCTCTCAGACCATTGTGCTCTTCTCTCTCCCCACGGCCTCCCCAACCCACCAACAACAAAAGTACTGTGTGCATGTTTTCATCATTCAAATGTGTTTGGGTGTCGCCAGTCTGTCGTGTTTTGTCAAGTGCATTGCATAGCCGTTGAGAGAGGGTGCATGCAAACAGGCATGTGTGTGTGTTCGTATGTATGTGGGTAAGTAACATTGGATTCGTTTCGTTTCATTTGTTTATTTTTTTCTTATTGTTGTAGTTGTTGAGTGTTTTGCCTGACTTAAATACTAACTGGTTGTTGTAAATACATTTGGTCTTCGTTGTCGTTTATCATCATCATCATCATGACGAGGATGATGATTGTTGTAAAAAAGAAAAAAAAAAAAAAAAACAGCAACAACAAAAATAACAATAACCAAACCGTTTCATGTTAACAAGAATTTTTAGGTCAAAATTGCATAATACATAAATGTTTTGTGGTGCTGCAATGAAAATGAAATTGTAATGGCGTGAAATATGCGCTCTCCCTCCCTCTCTCATTATCCTCTTTCTCTTTGTAGAGTTTGGAGAATAGTACAGCTAAGAGCCGCTAAATTAAAACAAACTGCATTGGAGCTGTTGCCAAAAGTTCTTATGTCAATAGAATAAATTTGATTTGACTGATGTTATATCTGTGTTGATAGGGGCAGAGAGAGCGCATTAGATATGAGAGGAGAGAGATCGTAACACTTTTGATAACCTTGAAATGTGACTGGGAGAATTTTAATGAGTTGTGAAGGAGTTAGAAGCATTGATAGGCATTTTTTAAGAAAATCGACATAATTAAACTTTGGTAAGAGATGGAATTTATTGGATCAAAAAACCTGAAATAAAGATTTTGGGACTTGGAAAAGGGAAAATAAATTAAATTTGTAGATAAAAATAAATAAAATAAAATATATGTATTATAACTGTACGAAAAGTACTAAATAGTACTAAATTTGGTACATTTTTGTATCGTGTGAACACAGAGAGCTTGAAATGTACAACTTGGTATTAGTATTGCTGTTTATGTGTAGCTTTGACATATGGAGGTGGTTTCGGAAGTATATGCTATAATTCTACGAAAAGTACAAAATGGTACAATATTTGGTGTTGGGAGAGAGGATTGACATAAAATTCTGAAATTTGAAAATTTGGTATCTGTGATTGAGATTTGGTGATAGTGTTTTACAGTACAGTCATACACTCCATCCAGTACTTCTCCCACAAAGAGTCAAAATTTCGAATAATTATAACTCTTATAGAATGTGATGTAGGAGTCCGATTGTCTTCAAATTACACACATCTCAATATTTACCCAATGTCTGGTTTGAAAATGGAATATATCGGTCCACTCCTTCTGGAACCTCCCCTACAAAGGGTCAAAATTTTGAATATTCATGAAGCTCATAAAACACGAAATTCACACCCGATTCCATACAGACTTGACACATCTCAATACTTCTATAAACACAAGATATGTTATAAAGATGGTAAAGGTCGGATCATTCTTTCTGGTACCTCTCCCTCAAAGGGTCAACGTTTTGAATAACAGAAACGGTCATAAGCATCCGATTCTCTTCATATTTCACACATCCCATTATTTCTAGCAACACAATTTTTGAATAAACTGCGAAATTAACATCCGATTCCATTCAGACTTGGCACATCTCAATAATTTCATCCACACAATATCTGTCATAAAGATGTTAAAGATCGGACCATTACTTCTGGTATCTCCCCCTCAAAAGTTCAACATTTTGAATAACCATAACGAACATAAAATCCGAAATAAGCATTCGGATCTCTTCATATTTCACATATCTCATTATTTCTACTTACTCAAGATCTGCTGTGTAGATGGGATATATCGGTCCTCATAAAATTTGATATAAATTTCCGATTTCTTTCAAATTTTGCATACATACCAATACCTTCAAATGTATTAGATGAAGTATGAAAATGGAATACTTCGGACCGCTATATCTGCTACCCCACGCTTGTTTCCACATTTTCCAAAAATTGCATGTTTATAGGAAGAAGTCGATATAGTCCAAATCTGGCACGCCGTAATATTTATATCAGTATCTGGTGGTGGTTTTAAAAATGTGTACTACAAGTGCACGAAAACTCCTAAATCGTACCAAATTTGATATTGGGTGAATAATTTTGAATGGATTTTAGAAATAATACGAAAATGTTTGCTAAATTTTTAAGTCATATTTTTTCCAGCAAAATATTTTTTTTTTTTGGATTTTTCAAACTAATCACCTTTTGTCATAATAAATTATTAAAATTATATTTCCTTTGAAAATTTTCAAAATATTTCCCTCAACCCCCACCTCACAAATTTTCAAAAAAATTAAAATAATTTTTAAGTATCAGCATAAATCACAACAGGAAATTCCCAACAAATGACGTAAAACAACAATTCGTAGAAATGATTTTCACACAAAAATCTCATTTTTCTTTTTCATTTTCACAAAGAGAAAAAAAAAACATCATAAATACGCTCATAATTAATGAACAAGTTTATTAAATTTTTTTCTCGTCGCTATTTTTTGTTTTTGGCGATTGACAAAAGTCCCCAACGTAGAATGAAAACCGAAAACACTAAAAACCAAAATAAAAATATTTTCCCAAGGAACGTGTTCAAGTGAAGGAAAATTAATGTCTATACTAAAAGCCAAAAGAAGAAATTTACGTCAAATATTTCCACTTTTGTGGTCTGACGATGGCGGCGGTGGCGGCAAGGCATTGTTTTTGGATTTAAAAATAAATTAGCACATTTTCAAAAATTCAAAAATTTCAAATGGCTTTGAAGAAGAACACAACAAATACTAAACGTGGGGGGTCACACAAAATATTTTCGACCAGAAAAAAAATAAATAAATAAATGAATATGTAAATAATAGATAAGACATCTATAAGCAAAAGGTAAAATATGTGTGGCCCATATAAAAAGAAAATTTGTTGGCAAATTTTGTGGGAGGATATAAATAATTGGAAGCCATTTCCTTTGCCAATTTGAAATCTATTTAAAATTTTCTACAAAATTTTCCCAATTGCATGCACACATTATTGCAAGTAATATTTCCATTGTTTATTTTTCCAATGTTCGCAATAAATATTTTTCCATTGAAGAAAAATTCCCAAATGTGCTGTTCTATTTTTGTGGTTTAATATTTTTTGAATTTTGTTTTTATTTAGTATTTGTTTTGTGTGTGTCTGAAAAATCTTGCTTGGGGAATTTTTCTGTTTTGGATTTTTTGAAAATGAACATATAGAGATATTTTTTGCGTATTTTCCTATTTCCAATGACAAAATATTTGTTGTGTTTATGTCTGGATGGTATTTTTTTCTTTGGTGGCCATTAAATTTAATAACTTATTTGTTTTGAGGCGATTTTTGAAAATGAATCATTTGTTTGGTATTCATTTTGTAATGAAGGCGAAATAATAATATTCACCGGAAAAATGCGTTTGAAATATTTGGTCGAATACATATCTCCCATTTTCTTAATTAGGAAAAGGAAAAATTAGTTTGAAAATAAATTCAATAAAATTTGTTCACTCGAAGGACCAAAAATGTTTTGGGTGGAATTAAATCTTGAACTCTATGTGTGGGAGGTATCAGAAGAAATGGTCCGATCTCTTACATCTTTACAACAGATCTTGTGTTGATGGAAATATTGAGATATGGAATCTGTTGTTAATTTCGAGCTTCATGAATATGTAAAATTTGACCCTTTGTGGGGGAGGTACCAGAAGTGGTGGCCAGATATTTCCAATCTTCATAGCAGATCTTGTGTTAGTGGAAATAATAGGATGTGAGAAATATGAAGAAAATCGGATGCCTATTTCGAATTTTATGATCGTTTCGATTATTCAAAATTTTGACCCTTTTGTGGGGGAGGTACCAGAAGGGGTGGACCGATATTGCCCATCTTCACAGTAGATCTTGTGTTAGTAGAAATAATGGGATGTGAGAAATATAAAGAGAATCGAATTCTTATTTCGGATGTTATGATAGTTTTGGTTATTCGGAACTTTGACCCTTTGTGGGGGAGGTAACAGAAGAAATGGTCCGATCTCTATCATCTTCACAACAGATCTTGTGTTGATGGAAATATTGAGATGTGCCAAGTATAAATAGAATCGAATGTTAATTTCGCGTTTTATGAGCTTCATAGATATTCAAAATTTTTACCTATTGTGGGGAAGGTACCAGAATGAGTGGTCATATATTTCCCATCTTCGCAGCAGATCTTGTGTTAGTAGAAATAATGGGATATGTAAAATATGGAGAGAATCGGATGTTGTTTCAGATTTTATGATAGTTTTGATTATTCAAAATTTTGACCCTTTGTGGGAGAGGTACCAGAAGGAATGGCCCAAACTCTACCATCTATACATCAGATCTTGTTTTGATGGAAATATTGAGTTGTACCAAGTCTAAATGGAATCGGATGGTAATTTCGCATTTTATGAGCTTCATGAATATTAAAAATGTTGACCCCTTGTGGGGGGGGGGGGGGGGGTACCAGAAGCAGTGGACCGATATATTCCATCTTCACACCAGGCCTTGGGTTAATAAAAATATTGTGATGTGTTTAAAATGAAGACAATTGGACTCTTACATCACATTTTATATGAGTTATAATTATTCAAAATTTTGACCCCTTGTGGGGGAGGTACTTGATGGAGTGGACCGATCCATTTTCGCACCTGACCTAGTACTGATGCAAATATTAGGATTTGCAAAGTTCAATATCGGATTATCCTTTCCCTTTCTCTTCTCTAAAATATTTTTTGGAACATTTCGAGCTTTTGTGGGGGAGGCACCAGAAGAAGTGGACCGATATTGCCCATCTCCGAACTCGATCTAAGTTTGACTATAATATTACGATGTACCAAGTTTGAACCAAATCGCATACTCGCTTCCACAGTTATAGTGCGCACCAGCCAGCTAGACATGGAGGCGGACCAAAGAGACCTAGGTTCTAAAACCGTTATTTTGATGAGGCACGTTGTGGCACACTGGTATATACCCTCTATAGCCATATCGTTGAAGGTATTAAAAGGTATAAAAATGACCTTGGGCTGGAAGACTTGAATTATGGAATTTTGGTCCTTCGACCTTAACCTATATAGCATCCTGAAACGGATTTAGTCCAAAGAG